TTGTAAAATTAATCCGCGCGAGGCGGGTTTTTTGAAGAAAATAACGAATGTGTGACGTCCTCTTAATATGATATTAAAAAGTGTAAAAAATATTATTATTATTATTAGTAGAATTATGTCTAAGGACTAGAAGTATCAAGTAAGTACACTAAACAGCTCATTTACGTTTCGCTACCGTCCATTATCTGTGATTTTGTATTTCAACAAAATGTAAAATATTTGTACATTTTAGTCAGCGAACCAATTCTTACTTGTTTGTGTTATTAAAATGTAATGTATAATTGAATCGGTCATTTCAAAAACGGCATAAGTCACCGATTTTTAAAAAATGACTTTTTGTCAAATTTGATAATTATATACGCAGTTACGTAACTGTGTGTAAAAATTAAATTTTTTAGATTCATGACATTTGTCAGAAATATTTTATTTTATTTAAAAAAAAATATACCAGTTTGTGCAATAATTTAATTACATTTCAGTATTTATTTATTTAATTTTATTTCTTGACCTAATTTCTAAATGATAAATGTCTATTCCCTGCAAAAACAACGCAAGTCTTTAGGTTTAGAATATGTCTTATCTCAATTTAATGAGTTAGGGTCAAAGTTAGACTAATAAAAATTATGGATAATGAAATTTTATAAATAAATTAGTAAATAGGTGTAATTGCAAAATAAGTTGAATTTCTTAAAATATCATGTATAGTATCACTGTTTTTTTTATTATAACAACATCTATCGTCTAACATAATATTGTAAAATTAAACGATTGACCTATTACGGAAATCACACTGGTTACAAGAAATTATCTAGCTAAACATATATTGTGCAAAAAACAGATTATACTATTTTCTAGTTAAACGATTAACGTCATTCTATTTCAGGTAACCTTATAGCCTAATATTATGCTGTAAAAAAAATGTATTTCTATTTATTTGCTGACAACACACAAACGTAGCCAAAATGACCGTTTTTTTGAAGTCATAAAATTTGACATTTTTACAAATTGATTACGCCAATTCAAACGTATAAGTTAATAATTATTTATGAATATTGTGCTCTTCTGTTAATTATAATAATAAGTCGTGAACAATTTTAACCACTTAAATCTTAAATAATCTATTTTGATAATTTACACACCCGTTGACTATGATAATTTGTTCATAGTAAATAAAAAAAGATTAAAACACATTACATTTTCAGTAAAATTTCGTCTTTATTATTTATGTCATTACTTTTTATCTATACATAACTTTATTTAGGTATCTTCAATGTGTAACTTATTAAAGGTAACTAAATAGTATTACAAAAGAGAATTACTACTTTCCAAGAAATTGTGACATTTTCTCGTTGAACTGACGAAGGTGTTTAAGACGATGTCTTGAGCTAAAAAATACAAAAGAAAAAAAAGCCAGTATAGTTTAAACCAAGCACAGTATAAACCAGCAAAGTTAGAAAGTATTAAATTTGATGTTCTGTATTTACAAACAAGCATCAAAGCGTTAATTTGAAAGTGAGTTTATCCGAGAGGACTAGTACAGTAGAGTATAAGCATAATGGAATCAAAGCAACGAGGGGACCGAGAGGTCACAGGTCTACAGGAATAATTATAAATAAAAGTGATAAAATTGAATAAAATCACTTTCAAATAAACGCTTTGATGCTTATTAGTAAATACAGAACCGCAATTTAATACTTTCTAACTTTAGAAGTTAGATTTTTAGAAAATAGAATTATTTAAAAAGGTATTTATGTATCAGGATAACATTGAATTATAATTAATTCGATGGTGTTTTCAAATTTAAAAGAACAATGGCAATTAAACAGTAAACTAAAATATGCAAAGCCATCAACGTCCAACGTTTACACATGGTAATCAAATTCAATATAACAAAATACAACAAAACAGGATCGACGCGCTCTTTTTGGAATAAATAAATAGCGTTTTTTATTACTTACCAATTTTCAGTTAAGTGTTTGCTCGGAACCTATGAAATTCAAAAATTGTGGATCTACGGGTTTACCATAACACCGACAATAGTCATTGTTCGAAGATTCGCATACTCCTCGAATTGCTCCGAACTCCCCACTGTACTGGCCACGGCATAGACCCCAACAGTCATCCGGGTTGCAATAAGCGTTCACGCCGTTGAAAGCGAACGCCAAAACCAAAAAACAAACCAAAACCGCGTACTTAGAATTCATGGCAACGGAACGGTGTGAGAAACGACTTTACAATAGCAATAATAATTGTAATTACTTCGAATGACTTCCCTGCCGTACGTATGCCTATTTATATTATGTAGGTTTCTCCCGAGTCATGGATGTATTTTAATATACACATTGTACAAATTGACCTCAGTAACTTCATTAGACGTGCAAATAGTCGGATTATCTGTCAAGGAGTGCTGACAAATGCCGACGCATTTAATTTAATTTAATGAAACCTAATGTTTTAAGTATTTCGTTTTGAAGTCTTTTGCGCGTTTGCTAATAATAAATCAGTACCTTTGTTTAGTGCAATTATTGCACGCGAGTATAAAATGTATGACGTTTATAAAACAAATTGATTGAGTTACATCGGAATACTACTAAAAATGTATCTTTTTAGAACGTGTGTTGGGTTTTGTGAATAGTAACCAATAGTTGACTATTATTATTGTACTCTTTTGCCCTAAATATTGTCTATTTTTATTATACGTACGGTTATAACAAAAGATTTTAAATCCTCTGAAATACTGATAAAAAATAACTATTTAACTTCCATTAGGGATACATTTTTTTTGTGTATATAATACAACTTTTTGTGTAACATACAAACGGTGATTAAATATAATTAACATGTAGGTTATAGGTATGTATTATGTTTTGTATTGTATTTTGTAGGTAATTAAAACGAAGCAGATGAACACAAATCGAATGCCCATTGTGTGAGCATTTTAAAATATATGGTTTTGACAACATTCTATACCGTAATGTCATGTACGCAGTTTTTGGATATAAGTCTGATTTCAATAAAAAAATATGCAATGTCATCAACATCCGAGGTTTACATAATATGGTAATTAAATCCAAAATAACAAAATATACATAGGGTCGTAGCGCATTTTTTGGAATGAACAAATAACGTTTTTTATTACTTACCATTTTTCAATTGATCATTATCTCGGGACCCGCGACAGTATAAAGTGGTGGAAGTAAGGGTTTACCATAACACCTACAATAGTCATTGTTCGAAGATTCGCATACTCCTCGAGGATCTTTATACAGTCCCCCGAACTGGCCACGGCATCGATCCATACAATCATCTGGGTTGCAATCGGCGTTCACGCCGTTGAAAGCGAACGCCAAAACCAAAAAACAAACCAAAACCACGTACTTAGAATTCATGGCGACGAAACCGTGTGAGAGACGACTTTACAGTTAATAATTATTGTATTAGCTTCGAATGACTTGCTGACCGTACCTACGCCTATTTATATTATGTAGGGTTCTCCCAAATCATGGATACATATTACTATACACATAGAAACCAGTTGACCTCAGTAACCTCATTAGACGTGTAATCAATCGGTTTATCTGTCCTGCATACATACACACACACATCATAACAATAATATTAAAACATACGGCATTATTACTTCATTCGTTACCTACTGAACTTTTACTCAAAATACAAAATTTTAATTTTGTTTTGTTTTAGTTGAACATCTTTGTTGAAAACAATACTTTTTTATTTGTATATAATATACATATTATTTTGTGCTTATATTCGGTATTCATTACGACGGTAAATGGTCAAGGGTGGGAGAATTTCAGTTTTTTTATACTTATACTACTAATTAATACAATAATACTATTTTTGGGAAAAACGACCTTAGCGCATCCCGTTCCCTTCAAAGTCTACCTTGTAGATTATTATTATTTTTTTAATCGTTCCTACAAAAACGCCAACGTTATAACTTACAATGTCATGCCGTGACTGATCAACATTTTTTAGTGTTTTTATTTTAGTATAAAATAAAATAAATGTAATTAGGAGATAAGCATGATCCACTTGAGTGATTGTTATGACACTACAAACTATAACAACTGTGTTATACATAAAACATCAAGTATGAAATATTTAGATGTTATTATTGATGAAAATCTTAACTCCTCAATTTTACGGGATCTACTCCTTATGAAACTAATGACCATGGGTTGGGAGATGAGGCTCTAATAGTGATTTAGATGAACCTCAACAATCCAAACAACTGTTTCTCTTTGCCCTCTCTTAATGATAAGGTTGTTAGCCGAGTCCACTGGTATATCAAGTTCACTGTTTTGAGAAGCAATTGCTCGGAGTAGTGAATCAGGGGTAATTGTCGTTTCTACTCCGAAGATAATAGCTCTGGATTACCTAGACCACCATTTTATCGTTTTGGAAATTTATTAAATATTAATGTTTGCTCCCACCACGGTGCTGTTCGGTTAATAATATTAATTTGTTATTAACATTCTATTATTATCGTGTTCCAAAAAAATAAATTGCCTAAAAGTCAAAGAAAAGTGGTCCATATTGGGTGATCGGGAATTTCACGGATTTTTGTAAATTGTTTTGTAACTAAATGGGATAAAACCGTACTTCATATAACCACGTGCCAGTGTGGCGCCAGTAAAATAAAAAATTGTTTTTCCTATATCCGTTGACTGTTGTCAACACGGGTAAAAAAGAAAAATATGTTATTGTAAAAAATAAGCGTTCTCGTCAGCGGTAGATACCGATTATATTATATGAAGAGGAGTGGCTGAGTGGGTAAGGCGGCAGTGTGTTCGATCACTGTCGCTGGTTTGACTCTGGGTTAAGGGTACTCCGTTTACTTGGCGACCAATTGTCCGGTGAAAAGGAGCCGCCATCCCCCTCTCCGGCGACGGACTGACGCCCGGTCCCTGATAGTGAATTGGTCAAGAAACCATCTCACGATAGCAGCGTTGGGCCTTCATGGCCCGTTAAGCTACATGATGGTGATGATGATTATGATACAGTACGAATGTGTGTAAATCTGCCACGTTTCACAATAGGTTCATTCTGTACGTTTACCGCTAAAAGTGATAGCTGTCATACTTTATTTTAGAGCACTGGACTGAACGGTGTTCAGTTAAAACGGTTGCATGAACTGTTTGAAAATCACAGTACGACGACTACCAATGCAGTTAATCAGGAGCAAATCGCACAAGTCGTGAAAAGTTGTTTTGAACTGAAATGGGAAGATACGAAAATTATGTCTGGATACAACATAGGTAACAAATATTAATAAACAATTATATTACAATTATCTTTTGGGCACTTCAAGTTGACCGTTGTGACCGTTAAGGGCTTTACGCTTGGTTAATTAATATTTGATGAGCTTAATGAATCGTACCATGTGATGAATTTAACGCCCTACACGAGTTTACTCTTAAAAGAATTGCAATTTTATAGTGTTTCCTTTTGAAAACATTTATATTTATATTTTAGCACAATATTTGAAACAAATTGTTACCTTATTTTAGTATTTGCTGGAAATTTATCAAATTTCGAAATATAATTAACAGTACATAATAAATTAAATTTTTAGAAAAATTAAGAAAGTTAAGAACAATTTACTGAAAATATTAACTGGTCGATAACCAGTTTTGAATAAATATTTTTAAAGTCGATTAAGTTTGAAAATGAGGGTGGGAAGGGGCGTGCGGTTGAGTATTGCGTGCAAATATAAATAATTCAACACTTTACCGTTCCTTCTGCCTATAATTATATATAAATGAAATTCTGTTCGTTGCTGATCGCATTACGTGAGAACGGTTGGACCTATTTGGTAAATTTTTTTTTAATGTTTGTAATAGTCCAAGAGAGTTTTTTACGGAAAGAAAAATTAAAAAATTAGCCGGGAAAATAGAAAATTTTTAATTTTAATGAAATTTTATTCCAATACATGGCGCTACGTCCCTAAATATTACAACTGATAGCTGACATATTGACAAATGGACAGTTTGACGGCTGATCATATTTATTCATAAATTCGGGCCAAAAAGACGTAGTTTCACATTACATAGTTGCCCATTTTAGTGATTAATCGTATTGCAATGCCGCCAATAAGACGAAACAATTTAGGTTACAGATCTCGTCATATTTATTTCATGGACAATTCACCACAAGAAGTAGATCAGCGTTGTTCATACAACAGTTCGGTGAAAAAACCAATCGTGGAACAACCGCAAATTTTTTCCCATCAACACAATGCATTCGTCTACTTTACCAATATATTGTCGATATGTACGTCAACCCGAGTTCTTAACCCGAGCAAAGCTGGATACACATGTAGCACAATTATATACCTACTTTAATAACTTGAATACTATTTATTCAAAACTGACTACCAGCCAAGCACAATATTATTATTGCTTTTGTGTGTCAGGCAAAAAGCCACTGTTACAACTAATTTATTAAAAATATTTAATGACTTAATTAATAACTAATCAATTTTTTACAGGTGATCCCGATTCTGTTAATTTATATTATTTATTACATGCATTAGCAGAAAAAGGCAAAAAAAGCTCCGACAAGGTATTCAAATTCTCAAATTATTTAATGCGCGTTGGTTAAGTGTGAACTTTTTAAATTATTCTCTATCATACTATTATTATAGTTGTGAATTAGCTAAAATTTAATATATTTCTCAACAATATAGCTCCATCTCTTATGTGTTAAAACCTAAAGAATTAAACATTTTACAGTAGTTATATTATACAGGGAGATTTATTACGGAAAAGACACTCATTTTCTCTTAACATAATCGTGATTTTGTAGTTTTTTTTAGAGATAACTAGTGTCTTATCTTAAATTCAACATCCTGTGAACTAAATGTAAGTTCAAAATTTAGAACGGAAGATTGAGTGATATTAACTTTAGTATCTTTAAAAGTAATTGCTCAAAACCAGCATTCGACTAGTCGAAATTAGCAGCAAATTATTTCAAAAATAATAACATCTATACTTTACCGAAAAGCTTAAGTTCATATGACCTACACATAAGCAATCATTCTGTATTAATAAATTGTTTTCAGGTTAAAAAACTCACGTTTTCGGATGTAAGCTTTTATCTAGAAGAGTTCGAGGAATGCAACAAATTTGGTTACCTTAAGCTTCAACAGCTATCAAAAGTATTCAGTAATTGGAAAACTGTAAATGATGCATTGAACGCAAAATCAGAAGAACTTAGAACCGAAAAAGGCGGTAATGCACACAAGCCAAGGAGGCGGTTCACTTGATGTAGACAATTTTTAATTTTTAATTCAATTTTAGACGACTATGTAATTATTGCTACGGAGTTCTTGTTGTTCATGATGGATATCAAACCAGCAGTAAGTGCATTACTCGAGCAAAATTTAAAAAAAATTAGGAAAATATAATCTCTAGAATCATTTAATAAAAACTTTTATAAGAACCAGCTTAAAATAAGGGCTTTAAAAAAAAATAAGAGCAGACCCTGTTATTTTTTTTAAATTCTTTCAACACATTTTTATTTTGACTATGTGGCCGTATCTGACCATTGTCTTAACCATTCAGAACCATCGTTTAAATCTTCTTTATAGTTATTGTGTCTAGTATTATCATCAGTAGTTTTACCGTTTTGCCAGTTTTCACGGTTTTTTTTAAATCTTTTAGTAGCACACCATCCCCTTATTTAAATTTAAGTCTCTTTTTACCAACGTTTTTTATTTGGGTTATTTGATTTTTAATAACTATAATTTCGTTGATGTTGGATATTAATAAATCAATTAGTGTTCGTGTAGAACGTCCTAACGTGAGTTTAGTGGGTGATTCGTTTGTTGTTGAATGGGGTGTATTTCTATACATCAGCAGAAATTAATTTGAATGACTACATGAAGTGAAACACTTAAAAAAAACATTTTACGATGATAATATAATACCCCACTCAAGCTTCAATAATTGTTTAACATTTTACGATTTTAACGCCTGTCTCATCAAAGATGCTACTGTTAAATGCCTAATACCAAATATTGCACAATACCACTGTAATTTAACACCCCAAACATATTTGTGGTAATTGGTATTCTGATTCCGAGAGAGTCCTTGATGCAATAGCTATAGATCTTTTTGTGCTATCTGGGGACAGACAGACAAACATTTATTTTTATACATATAGATAAGTGAATATCATTCGCAGACGTTTCTTATGTAACACAAATTTTACGAACCACTAGTTGTGCAGCTGAGCACTACATATAGTATGGTGAACAATCCTCACCAAAACTGCCAGCAATTTATTCATAATAAGATTTTTTTTTAAAATGTATTCATTATTTGTAGGGTCATGGTCTAACCATAGCACAAATAGAAATGTTTGATAGTTTGTACGAAGCATACAAGACATCCGGTAGCGTTGATCGTGTGGCATGTGAAAAAGTGTTCGAAGTGTTTAGTATAACCGTAAATGACGAATTGGAACTGCTATTTAAATCCCACCGTAAGAATTATTTTTGTATTATAATACGTATGATTAGTAATTGGAGAACTGCTAATTATTAAAATTCGTACAGAACCTGCTGGAATATTGTTGATGGATTTAATCATTCTTGCGGCAGAACGCAATACGGCGGTTGAGGAAAATGTAAGTAATATCGTTCATAATTATTTCTTTTTTAAATCTAACAGTTCTTCGCTGTTATGTTTGTTACACTACCACACCTACTGATTAATAACTATTACACATTATTGCTTAAAAAATTATTTAGAAATTGAGTGTATTAAGTCTATGCGATGTCGTATCTGCCATAAACGATTTCGTTAAGATGGATCGTAACAACGACTGTGTACTGTCCTCCAATGAGTATGAAAACTACGTGTATGAGTCGGACACTGGTTTTACAGGGTCGGCAGAAACTGTCGAAAAAGCGGGACATTATTTAAGCAAATTCAATGGTAAAGTTAATTTAAACAATGTTATAATTTTAATTAATGTCGATTGGTGGTCATCGCCAAAAAACTAATTTTCCTTTTTTAGGTTTTCAAACAATCAACGCTTTGGAATACATTAAAGCTGTATTTTTCCTACAAAATCATACCGAAAAAATTTAACTTTAATATCATTGGTAATAACTCACAAGCTCTAACAATATTAATCGGACATGTTCAATAATCATATATATATAATAATAGTATTTTAAATATTTTTGTGTATTTTCAATTAAAATATTTCGCTTCTCGTTGTCTACAAAAAAAATTATCATCTGATTTCTATCAATATAAAATTACAAATAAAAAAATCAGTACCTAAAGTTATTGTTTTTATTTAATTAAAAACCTATTATATATTATTACGTTACATTTTCTCAACATTGTGAACATTTTAAATATAAGGATGGATAAAAAATCCGATATCTTTAATAGATCTTACAAAAATAGTTAACTTCCAGATAAAAGATGTTATTGATTAAAATAATTTTACCAATTACAGTAAAATAATCCGTAAAGCAAATACAATTAAACGTAGTATAGAAACAAAGACCTAATAAAAAGTAACTAAATTGTAAACATTTAAAAGCTTGGCACCGGAACCCCAAAGCAACGTGGTTAGTTACATGACGTATGATATGACAAATGATTTGATTGTAACAAGTCACTCAGGAATTTTTTTTTAAAGTTAAATTGAAAAATCATATTACAATAGCGTCCACCGACCTGACATGTTAGATCATGTGTTATGTGTACGTTTTTTTTAATACTGGGTCCAACTAGTCTAACCAACTGTTCAAATGCAGATTTTTCCATTCTATAAATACTTTTACACCTATCAGGATCGTTTAATTGTTTAAACACCATGACTGTTACAATTTTTGCGCCAAAATTGATGAACCCAACGTCTTTGATTATGATTTAAGAAGCTCATTATATTTACAGCAGCAAATACGTCTTCATCTTCTGAGGTCTGATGACATTTTGAAAAATGAAATAAGTAGTAGGCAAAAGAAGGTTTTTGTATCATATGACTAAAAATCACGTCATTAGTTTTATTTTTATGATGCTGACCGACCGTAAACATTTTTATCAATTTACGAAGTTATGAACAAAAACTTAGTTCATGTATTTTGATTTTAAAAAAATGCATTAAATAGTTAAAATGACTAATTTTGTATTTGTATATAACAGTTCTTTTTTACGTTTATAAGAGACGTCATATGAGACAATATTCAATAATACAATTTTTATTTGTTTTTAGTTTGATAGGACTACAGGAGAGACATATCATTGAAATAGTAGGTATAAAAGTAGGTAAAAAGGGGAAAAAATCCGAATAATGGTTTTATTTTAAATAATGACATATCAGATTGTTCAATGGTTTAATAATTATAGTTATACAAACAATAAGTCCTAATATTGTTATAAAATGAACAAATATTCATAATATTTGATAGTTTTTTTCTCCATTCCTCTCTGCATACTTCCATAATAATTTGCATCATAAAGAGTATGGTGGTTAGGTTCAATGCGATAGAAAATATTGCACATCTGTGCGTAGAATTAAACTGATAACTTTTATTTTTATTCATAAAAGTAGTATTGTTGCAATTATATTTTTAATGGAAGTTTTATCATGTGTTTTATTGTGACCAACACCGCAATTTTATTTGGATCCGCGATATCTTATAACCTAACCTAACCGACTCTGTATTTCATGTAGAGTGACTATTCGAACAGAAATTGTACCTAAAAGGTACTTAATTGGGTCAAAAAATGTACACAAGTTCACCCCTTCCTTTTCAAAACTGAAAAAATATCTAAACCATTTTCACAAGTGGCCACTTAAAATTACGGCGCATTTTGTTTTTTTTTAATAGTCTAATTATTTTCACACAATTTCCTCTAGAAGGATTGGAAACTTCTCCTTTATTTTAATCTTTCGAGTGTAGTTTTAAAGATAAGTGATCTGAAAATAAGGCTGAAGTAAATCTAGAATGGGTCTGTAAGATTTTAAATATTTCCCAAAAAAATGAACTAAACATTTTTTTTTTAATTAAGGAAACCCACACTCTTCCGAAAAAGGGGGGGAGAGGGAAATTGACTCGTCGGTCGGATTTCAATCTCTAATTCGACTAACACACAAATAATGTCTACATTTTTATAATTTGTGAAAATCTACCCACAGTATTGATTTTGGTACCGAAAAAGAGCCGTTAGGAAAAATGCACCCAACACTTTGGTGCCGTTAAAATGCCTATACGTCACGCTTGGTGAAATTTAACAATTTTATCTTTTTAAATCTATACCTTATAGTTTTTTTGTCTACTCAAATCTTAATGTGTCATACGGCATACCATTTGTACTGATTAAACAAGCTAATAAATATAATTTTATAACACCTTGTCGTCCTACAAGTAAACATTACTACCTGTGTGGGCGTTAAGTGTTGTATTAAACGTTATAAATAATATTATACATACATCATTAACAAATAGCGTTAAGCCAATAGAATAGACTATAGTCCAAAATCTTGAATTATTTTGTACGCTTTTGATTAGGAATTTTATAATTTTATTAATTGACATAATAAAATTTTAAGTCGTAGCTCTGATGGTTAGGTCTAATATTCAAAACAACAAAAGGTTAGTATCGAAGCGTTTATTCAAAAGTGATTTTATCGCATTAAGTTAAGATAATAATTCCTAAAGACCTGTGATCTCACCTGTTCAAAAAATTGTACTCCTATCCCACTATTTGTGTGCACAGGTATTATGAATTATTTCAATATAATTATTATAATATAATATTTAAAAATTACATATTTACACATATATCGTTTTATTTTTATTTTTAGGTCAATCCGAAGCTAAAAAGGTATCGGTAGTGTAAGTACTAAATATGTGTTTGTTTTTTATCTGAAGACATGGCAACTTTATAGAACAAATTCTCATCTACTATTTAAACGATGCCTATATGCGTATAATATATTAAAAGTTCGCCCGAAATTAATATTGTACAAAATATATATTATATTAACATTATAATATACCTCATACAAATATAGTTAGGTTAATGCCATAGAAAACTCGTCTATTAAATTCTTCAATCGAATTCAACAGTAAATTTTTATTCATAAAATAATATTCAAAATTACACTTTTGCGATTACATTTGTCATTGTTTTAATAATGTACAAAAGACACTCTTTTAGTTACAGTAAGAACTTTTAGTAAAAAAGTACCATTAAAACACTATTTTTTTATTATTATTTATTTGGTTCTGGTTTCCTAAGTTTTATGTACAACTTATCTTTTTTTTTTTAAATACAGAACCAATGAGGGGGAACTGTTTTTCACATGACTTCCCCTCATGTACAACTTATCTAAAAATGTTCAACAAATTCATTTTTTTTTATAAAAAATTATCATATACAAATGTTATTTAAAATTTTTATTTTTTACAGCTATAATAATTTTTATTTAAAAGATTCATAACAGTTTCGAATCTTGGCATGATACTTAATATAGCGAATAAGCAGTTTTGTGCCGGTTATCAAGTTTTGTCCGGTAGATCGCAGCATACATAATGCATGACATAATTATTTTTATTTAAAAAAAAACTAGCACACCCGTGTTAGTTTGGGTTAGGTTTTAGATTATAATAATTTTAACATTTAGAATTTAATACTGACAATGAGCTTTATTATAATCATTCACGGTTCAAACTTTAAAAAAATTAAAGGTTAGCTTGTAGCAGAACAAGACCGACTGGGCAGGTATCAGACACATTTTTTTCAATGCAAGGTCATTTTCGGGAAGGGATTTCAAATTTTATTACAGGAGAATTCCTATTATAGGAGAAGAAACATGAAATACATTTGTTTGAAACCAAATTAAACATTTTTTAACAATTGACTCTGGGTAAAGCACAGTGGTCGCTAGCCTTGCTACATAAAACTATTGTTTATTTTTTAAATAATTTCTTAAAACATGAAGTTATAAGTACTAAATGTTCAATCGAGCAAAGCTAGGTTGTAATAACTAACAGCAAAAAAAAACTGTGTTTTGGCTAGCCCCAAATAAAGCTGGGTAAATAATATTGAATTCATTGCCAAAAATAGTACATGTTCAATGTAGTTGAGCTCGAATTCGGCACCCTTAAAAACCAGGCCAGGACTTAAAGGGTTCCAGTCTATTTATCTTTGTCAGCTTATTTCACGACCTTCTCAAAATGAAAGGTATTTTAAATTAAAGATTTTTTTATTTACTGTTAAATAGTCTAAAAATACTAACATTGCAATGTTCTATTATATAAATATGATATTGCTCTATAAGAAGTTTCTGTTCCCCACTACAGATTTTTATTGGATCCAGTTAAATTCAGTTTATCTATTAGATGTGTATTATGTACTAAGTTTATAAAGTTAATGAAAACTTAATTATAGGGTCCGAGAAACTGGAATTTAAAAATAAGTTGTATTTCTTCCTCCTAAAGTTCAATGATAAGTTTAAAATAAATTCAAATAAGTCTGACATCACAAAAACAATATTAATTATTTTCAAATATTGTACAATTCCTAGAATAATTTGTATACATAATATAAGAAGAACTTTCCTAAAATATATTTAATTTTAATTAGTAGTTATTTCCCACTCATTCTGATCAAATACGTGAAGCGATTGTTAAAACTTTAAAGGTGAAGTACATTTTTGACCAAATTATTTATTTTGACAGGTTTTTAAAATGTTTAGTTTATCTAAAACCAACTTTAGAAATACTGTAGTTAAGATTTGTTTTCCATAACATTTTAAACAAGTTTACTGTTTGTTAACTCATTAAAAAAAAAATGTTTTACAAAATTAATACACAAGCAAGTAGTTATTTACAGCAAGACGTGTCTTGTGACTTTAGAATTCACGAAGTCACTGAAGTCGAAGAACGAGCATACGGCTTGAGTAACAAACAACAAATAGCAACTGCGAGGTATAGCCATAGGAACTGCACGACCATGATTATGTTGTATACACGTCCAAATAGAACTGTAACGTTTTATAACGTGAAGGATAGGTTTAATGGGCGAGTATGGGGAATTGTCACGTTAGGCTATAACCGGATAAGGAAGTCACCAATCAAGTACCTAACAAAACACTTCATCAAAATCGGCATAGTCGTTCTCACACCGTGTTGAAACAGACAAACGTAGGCTCGACAATACAACAATGAATAGATTATTGGACAAATTAAGACATCCAACGTTATAATAAAAGACAAATCTGGTATCTGCCACACCACCCTCCATAGGCGCCATTAGACAGGGGGTATGTGGGTTATTAGCACCCCCGATTTTAAAAAGAGCACTCTCTAATATTTTTCATGTCTACGTATTAAAACCTCTGCTCATAAAAAGGTTTTATAAAAAAAAAAAAACGAATTTTGCAGAGTTGATAACAGTATTTGTTATTTAGTAATATTTATCGATTTCAGGTAGCTATCGCGCTTCCCGCATTAGTTCTGCATCTTGTAAACGTTCACTTCCTGCTTTAAGAAAAATAAAGATTCGACTTAGGGTTTTTTTTATAAAATTAAAATGCATATAAACTAAAGTATTAAATGTCAAATTGACGTACAACATCCTCGCTCAAAAAAAACCATTAACCTCATTAATTAAAATTAAAATTTCAATACCTGGAAAATGCAGAGCTTAATTACCCACAATTTTGTTTATTGAACCTATGCCACCCTCGCTAAAATTACCTAGGCTGACCTTAAAAACCCAAACCCATTCGGGTTAGGTTATTGTTTATTTTAGGTACGTTGCTTATTAAATTTGGTATTATCAAGGAATTATATATCACTTTAATTCTAACGGTATATTTTGCAGTAAAAGTAAATAATAATAGTTATCAGCGCAAATATGTACAAAACATTTTATCAATAGCATGTGTGTATTATTACAAGTATAAATATATTATGTATAGTACAATATTGTTGTTATACACACGTTTTATGTCTACACTAGTTAACGCAGATTAACTTAAAAACGAACAATTTATTTGTATTTATAATATGTATATACACGTTATATCACGATGGTCTGACAAAATTGCATACAATTTAATATAATAATATGTATGACACATACATATTACATTGTACGTTTAATGTTTATCTGACGGATCATTGTGATACACGTTGTATTAAACAGACTGGTTTTACACTTTAATCAGTTTACCATTGTACAATTTACAAACAACATATATTTATTATGAATAAACAAAAATAAAATAATAATAACATTGCATAATCTTAAAATAATAATAACAAAATAATAAATACACTACCGAAACAAATACATATAGTTATTATTTATAAATATAATAATATTTTAAACACGTATGGTTTTTGCGGTTTATAATATTATATAAAATATTACCTACCTACGCCATTTTATATAAAAACACACACCACAACTATTATAATGTTTAATTAAGTTTTGATTCTTGACTTAAATAATGTCTCAAATAATACGCGTTAACAAAAGACCTACAAAATAATATAATATCTTATATAATTTCTCAATTAGGTAACACCTATATACTTGCTACATCTATAATAATAATAATAATAATATAATATGTCTTACAATCACACAAGCATTATTAAAATACATTATGTCAAAACGGTAAATGTTGTAAAACAGTACAACAAAAATAATAATAGTAATATAATATAATATTATGTATAATAATATAATAAGTAAAAATAAAATATTATATTTTAATACATAAAATTTTGTTCGATTTCGCTTGACTTCTAAGACAGTACCTATATCAAATACGGTAATTTTTCTGGGGAAAGTGTCCCTTCTTACAATAACTCTATAATAATAATAATATTGTAGTTGCTTAATTCTAACGATTATAAATATGTTTGTATATTGCCGATGTAGGAAATGTATTCTATAACTATATATATATATATATATATATATATAGTAAATTGTATAAAAGTAGCGTAAAATTAATAATAAATTATTATTAATATGGTTATTATGTACAAAAATATTAGATTATTTATATCAGTATAATATAACAATTATTATATAATATATATATTATGCCCTTGAAGTTATATATATATTTGTGTATAATATACATATAACTATAGCTTTGATGACTCGAGACTATCAGGAAAAAATCGACCGATGGCAGTAAAAAAAAAAAAAGTAATAATAAAATGTATTAATAATAATAAAGATAATAACTATCGAACTGTAATGATCGAACGCCAAGAATATTATGATTAAATCATTTTCTTTTCTTTTAAAAACGCCCAGAAGGGTTGTAGATGCCGACCAGCAGACGGTGGATGTCCTTTAGTTAAGCATGATGCCTGGTCGGTTCCCGGTTGTCCTGTGGCTGGACGGCAGGCTGCACCGGTCGGTTGTGCACCCTTTCCGGCCTTTCCACCATCTCCAAAGACCTGGGCTCTCCCCTCCGGTGATGGTTGTTGTGCAAGTTGACAGGTTCGGGTTGCGGGTCCGGATTGAACACCAATGGCAACCGGCAGTGTCTGGACCATTCGCCCTGTGCAACACATCAACAATGACAGTTAAAAAACAATACTCACATCATTATGATATATGGATATTATGGTTAATTTTGATCAAGTTTTGTAATAACATGAAAATAGAAGTAGGTAATACTACCTAGTTCGAATGAGACGGTCACGATGTGACGGTTGGTCTGTTTAAATGTGTATGGAAAAAACAAAGAAAGATATTGGAGTGTAGAAAGTAAAATATTTAAGAATTATGGAACGGAAGTATGTAGAGGATATATAGTTTAGCGATTGTTGACTAAACTTAAAATTTAAGGGTGGCTTAGTAATACCATAATAATAGATTTAGACTATGCTTAAATTTGAAGTATCTAGTTGATATCACTATGTTGCAAACGGCCATTACACAATATGATTTTAATTGGGACGGTCTGGTGAAATGGCGTCTTTGTCTGTTACACGCTTGAGGTATATAATGAAAACCGCTGGTCTAGAGACAATTTCAACACGTTAGTATCATCAAATTTAAACCGAGAATAAAAATAGAAAAATAATGTTTAAACGTTTTTGTTTTTATAAGGCAAAATTCGACATATTTATAGTGAATAGAAATCATAGTGATTTATATCAAATATCTGTGCTTTCGGTTAATGTAATTTTTTTATACATCATACATAACAATGTGAAATTCAGACACCATGCTTTTTTAAGGGATGGGGATTAGAAGAAAGGGTTGAAGGAGTTTTAAGGGGTTATAAGTCCTCTGGGCAACCACTATTTACCGTTTTCTCAACTGCATATTACCGTTGGCGCAATTAGATAGCGTCACAGTCCACAGACTTGGGAGGAGGCTCCAATGTAATATTAATTAAAAGTGACCTACAGAGCTCGTTGAAAAACTTTGGAGGGTTTCAGATGTACAAGAGAAGGGTTTGACAATCTGCCCCTCTCCTTAGTTATGCTAGTAGCACTTTAAAAATCACTTGATCTTATGGATGTTCAAAAATATAAAAATGGATATAAGTGGTAGCAATACCTACAGTATTTAACTTGATATAATATGTACATTTCTCCATTCAGTATTCTAATTAAAAACTTCATCAATACTAAGTTCAATTGACTGATAACGAATGGAGTGTCCTAATCACATTCAAATATATAATCGTGTGATTTAATTTTTATGTTGTTTGTTATTAATGTTTTCTATGCAATTCTACTAAAAAAAATTACCATTTAGAGTTAACCAATATTTCGTGTGGTAAGTGAATTGTGCATTTTAGTAATAAAGGTGCAGGATGTAATTATGTACAGTGTTTTACAGAGCTTTAAATGTCACTAATGCAGTGGCACGATGCGACAGTTGAATTATTATATTTTTCATAAGTCATAATTTACAACGATTTTCAATTCTCTCTATGAATTACTGTAGGTTATGTAATATTTTACGGCGTTCGCTTCGCATGTCTCGTTTAACGCTCTCTATTCATCAGCATTAAAAACAAAAAATAATAAAATAAAACTATATGGTGTATTATACAATAAACCAAGCATAAAAAATGTTTATAGTCATATGCCTACACTTAGGGCAGGCAAAAGACGAAAAAACGATAAATATAACTACTGTTAAGTGGGCAGCTAGCAATGGTTTGCACAACTTTGATAAATTTGCACATTAAACAGAGGCGCAATTTTTCTTAGGAAAAATGTTAAAATTATCTATTTATCATTTGTTTTTGTAACGCATCGACAGCACGTGATTAAAGTCATTCAATTATAATTCAAGTTATTTTGAAAAATTTGGCATACTCACTGTGCCTATTCAGTTACATTAAGTAATAACCTCATTTCGACATACTGCAAAACTATTAAAAAAACAATACATATTTAAACACATACATAACTTCTAAGATACTCAATATTGAAAAGAAGATGACCGACTATTTCAGGTGTTTAATAAGACGGAGGGAATCGGAAGTCTATCCAGGGCACTTTTCTAATCGCCATTTCCTTTTTTTTTACATTATTTCCCCTTAATTACCGAAACTAAATTACTTCCTATATACATAAATATTGTAGTACAATGATTGTACATTGTTAGCAGACATTAAAATATAGGTAGTGTAGACCCTGTCACCCACACCCCAACATTTATAAGAAGGTGCTTGGTCGAGTATAATGTCTTACAGCTTTATTATCTCCAAAGAGCTATATTTACAATAGACTCCTATTATTTTAATCATCTCAAAGTATAAAAATTAACCTCTTTTGGTGTTCGAACAATAATAATTGTTATATTATAATTATTAATAATACTATTGTTGCGATAGTAAAAAAAACATTTATTAAACATTAATATGTCATTAGGGTTGATAGTCTGATAGTCACAACCCTAATGGAATACATTATTTTAATACTTTAGATAATTAAACCACATTGGCGTTCCGGCCTACTAGACAAATATTATTTGTTTGTTGTTTTAAAAAAATACATTTTAACTATTGCTTACATAAAAAATAATTTACTTATAATATAACAACACTATAATAGTTTTTAAATATTCAAGGAATATGTTATGTAATTAATGTAGTATATTTGTTTATGAAAAAGAAAATATAATATACAATTGAATAATTTTTTTTTAGTAATTTGCTAACTACACTGGATGGTATATTTGTTAACATAAAAATGTTGGATTATTCTTGATATTACTTTTAATGACCTAATCTTAGCAAAACGCATAGTTATTTTCAAAAATCGTGCGAAATGGGTAACACGGTATCTTACATGATATTTGATACGACACAATGAAAATATACATAATACATTGTTCTGTGATATGGTAATATTGTTTTTAATGTACTTTTTTGCATATTACATTAACGACTGTAGCAGCTCCACCCGAATCGCCGTATCTTGACTTGTTCCAATTGCCATTTTTTTTTTTTACTAGTTCCTTTCGATTTTCTAGCACCCCACCCCCTCCCCGTTTCCGTCTTACGGTACGGTGGGCGGCAAGGCGATCCCGGTGCAAATAATAATAATTATGCTCGTGTGTTCATAATTCGCTGACGTGACGGTCACGGTTAGTTAGAATTTGTTTAAAGTGGGCGGTGTTGGATTTCACGCGACTTATCCCCCCGGCGATTGACGTGCCGGGGAGACTATATTGTGTGTGTGTATGTGCGTTGTCGAGGGTGGGCGAAAGGAAATAATTTGCACTCGTCCAAGGATAGGTAATAATAATAACATCATACCGCGCGAACTTAACGAATGAAAATATTGTATGTGCAAGGGGAAATGGTAATCTACTGCAAATTATGTACACACACACACACGTGCCTACCTACATGTACGGATAAAGTGAAAACGAAATAACGACAACACACATGACCGTCAAGTCGCTCGTCTTCTTCGTTCGCATATTATACATAATTCCACCTGCATGTAACGGCCGCGGTATTATGTTGTTTTTGCCATTATTGCACTGTGTACGGTAGGGATTCGATCACGTGCCCGGGACCCCGGCGAAAACGCATATCCTATATCCCTTTGGAAACACCGAGGTCGGCCAATGTCTGACGGAGAAGATTTCCCATGGTACCACGGCGCGACGTCTCATCGCCCATCATCACCACACACACACACACAGTAACCGCCGGGCAAACCTGAATAAATTACAGCGGTAATTGTACATTGAAACCGCCGGCAACTCCATTAAAACAAATACACACACACACACGCACAGATCAGTTGCATTAGTGTCGACCCTTCGCAATAATTACCGTGCACCCGTACCGCAGTAGTAACAGCAGCATCCATAACTACCCTCGCCCTCCGTGATGCGACCGTGTACAATATTCAACGTGTATAATAACAATATTGGCCGTATAATACACGAACCGATTTTGTCGCTTCTCTTATTAACAAAAGCAATAGACGTGATCCGGCGACCGTGATGGCGATGACGGCCGGTCGGTCGGATGCAGCAAAATAATATAATAACAATATTAAGTGCACACACACACACACACATGCGATTATTTTAATGAAGTAGGTTTACGGTCGCAATAGCATGGAGCGCATTTCCGCTATGTGTTGCGCACGCTAACTTTTATACAGGATGACCGAGGCCAAAAGGGTTCGAGTGAATTTGTTTGGCTTTCGGTATCGCAATGTCGGAGATGGTGAAAAAAAAACAGCGTACCTCGTAATAATATCAAGGTTAATTGTATTATATACTTAGTTCAACGATGGAGTTTTTTAATTAAACCCCCTCTAAAAAAAAACATACCTTACCCGGTACATTCTGTTGGGGAAATTATAACTTTTTATTATCGGTTATTTTTGTTTTGTTTTAGGTAATACGATGGCTCGACAATTACATAATATTATTTAAACAATGAACAGTAATTACAAGAATGTTATAATAAGGTAAATATCAAGATATCTAAAAATTATGTAATATATGAAAAGACAAAAATTTTAATTAAGTGTAGAAAAAACAATTGAATACATAAGAAAGTAAAAGTAAATAAAAAAACTATACAGTGTAACCAGAGCTCAAGATGAAAGATCTTGTGACATTAATTTTAGGAGCAACAAGGAAATTAATGACGAGATCAGTGTTGGGGTTAGAGATGCCATGTGTGATGTGAGGCTAGGAAATGAAAAAGAGAGACTCTTTCGGTTAAGTTCAGAGAAAAGCAATCGAGTAAGAAATGAATAAAGTCGCCGATGGCTCATCAGAGTTACATAAAAGTTATTTTTAATTCAATCACCCTGTATGTTCAAATCCGACCGTCGCTTGGTTTTCGGCAAACAGCACAAATAAAATAATAATTACTATTACTATCGTTTATCATTCTCTCCGATCGAAACGCCAATTATTATGATGTAGGTACGCGTAATTGGTTCGTCCTCAAGTGCGTTTCATTTGAAGCGGATGAGGGTCAAATGCTCTATATATAAAAAGGTAACTACCGACTTTAATAATAATTGTTTACCGTGTGTATACGTCCAATAAATG